GAGATATTGATTGACTAATTATTGATGATTTATTTTTATTAAAAGAACAACAGTCCGAAGAAAAACAGTCACATAAGCAGTCAAAAAATTAAATCGCTGAGAGTTATCATGTATACATAAAAGCATTATATTTTCAATATTACAAATGTTACCTTATTGGGTATGTAAAAGTGTTAATATATATTACAGGCCTTTAGAGTAGCTTTAACTAAACAATTAGTAGTGTTTGTCATTAATTATTTCGAATTCATAAGAGAAGGAAAACAAAAAAAACAACGGATTTGGTACAAAGTCATTAAAACAAAAACACTAAAATGGATGAGATTGATCGTAAATATTATGTTAGAAACGTCTGCAAGATAGTGAATATATATTCAATGAGAGGATTTTTGTATAATGTTTGATATTAGTATGTGTAAGGTTAGAGTGATAATGTAAACTTTTGTCTGTATCCTAGGTCTGAACACGCCCACACGAGAGATGACGTGTTATCGGAGAAAGATCAATGGTTTGTGTATAAGAAGACGATCCTTTCAGGGGATGTGCTTTAATCAAAATTAACGTGTTTGTTTTCATCGGGGGCTCACCCCCATCCATCAAAGAAATGAGGGTTTAAAGATAATGCGTGCACAGCGTTGCTGTAAAAGTCGAAAGAGTCGAAAGGTAATTTCCTGCACTGTCTGTTTTCTGGATACACCATATATATATATATATATATATATATATAAGCGAGTTTAGTGAAACTGCAATTTCTGACAGTGCTCAACTGTATATATATATATATATATATATATATATATATATATATATATATATATATAGGAGTTGGAAGGTTACACTTTATTGGTACGAGTTATACAGACGGTTTCGCCAGAAGGCTCATCAGTAACTAAATACATAATACAATCATGGCGAAGTTAAAAACACTCATGTGCAGTCAGGCAAGAATACAAAAGAGACACAAATAATACCCAAGTAAGGGCGAACGCAATAATACAATAGTGGAATTAAGTGGTTTAAGGGTAAGGGGAAAGGTCATGGTGGTACAGGGGGGGGGGGGAAGGAGGGGTTTAACCATATTCAGAGAGTAAAAACTTTCTCTTATGTTTACATGTGGAAATGAGTTCAGTTCTAGAGTTAAGGATGGTGGATTTCTCAGCAGTGATATATATATATATATATATATATATATATATATATATATATATAATACATATATGGAGAGAGAGAGAGAGAGAGAGAGAGCTATATGTGGTACACATATATAAAGCTCTTCCACTTTGAGAAATCAGAATCATGTTCAGTGTTGATTTGTAAGATCTGTCCACCTAACTACAAATTGGTGTCACGACAGATTCACTAAATCAATTTGAGTATTGTTATATATTTTGTTCACTCGCCATAATGAGCTGTTATCAAGGACAATTATTAATCTAAAAATAACGATGAAAATGGAAAGAAGATGATGAAGGAGGATGGGGAGCAGGATGAGGGGGAGCAGGAGAAGATTTCAGGAAAGTGTGTTTAAAGAGGAAAACATCTCAGTCGGGTCGGACAGACAACCCTCGCCTCTCTCACTAACTCTCTCTCTCTCTCTCTCTCTCTCGCTTTCTCAAAAAAAAAAACAATTATCGTTTTTGGCCAACGAAAATAAACGCCAAATCGAAATCGGTGGCTATTTCTATCTTTACGATACATGTCATGTAGGCTTGGTGTTTGCTTGCGGCTCAGGAGAAGATGGATTTAAATGCTGATTGCAACTTAGATGATTTTGTACATTCTGGAAAAAAGGCTGGGTAAAAATGCCACCCCCCCCCCTCTCCAGCATGAGCGTAATGATATGAACCAGCCCTAAACAAAAGCAGTTTAATGTACATACAGTGTAACTATTTTGCGTCTGTTTGCACGACCTATAAGAATATAGTTAAGAACGACCCAATTTTTTAAAAGTACCCAAGACGCCCCCTGAATAATTCACCAAAACTGACGTACATATTACACAATCATGTTCATGTATATCAGATGAAAATGAAACCTGTATTACGGTCGTCTCTTCACACGTTTTCCCCAAGAGTATAATAATTCATTTTTCTTCATTTCGAACGAATAAAATATAAAAGAAGTGATGTAGAATTTCTTAAAGGGATCCGGTAACTATGTATTAGATCCTTTAAAAAAATCCTTGATTTAGCGCATGCTGCAATGATAATTATAAACCTTTAGGTCATTCGAAATCGAAATCAAATCTTGCGTTTGCCAAACGGTTTTCATAAAACTACAGTCTATTTGGGAAAACGAGTATGGTAAAACCGGTCACTCAAAGGTTTTTACTTTTTTGAGGCACATCTTGAACATTTTGTAGGGCTTCAATATAACACCATATCACAGACACTGATAGCACGTAGGGCCGTGCATCTCATATTTAACATTGTTAAACGACTCCTTTAAGTATAGTGTTGTACGGTAAGTACTGCTACATTTTCTACGATCACAGACTTAATGATATATGTATTTTCCTGTTGAATCTCTGCGTGGAATTTAAATCAGTACACAATAATTGTGTACTGATTTGACTTCCACTCTCGATCTCTCGACCCTTTTTTATTTTTTAACTTTGCGCCTGGTTGACTACATCCAATCAATATAGGCCCCACTTAAAGCAAATATGACATTTGGAAATCGCTATAAGCGATTCGCGTGAGACGGTACTTATTGGTCCATCACGTGAAGTCACTTCCTGCATTATAATCTAAAGATGATCATCCAACGGCTTTCTTATAGTTACATATTCATAGGTAAACTAGAGTAGTGGGGGTAGCGTGGGTCTACCTTAAAGAGAGAGAGAGAGAGAGAGAGAGGGGGGGGGGGTGAGGGTGTGCTATACTGGATATTATCGAGCGGGTAAATCTTCGAATTATAAATGAGCTGTGTACTCATAGAAAGCAACTGTCTTATGCATGTCATGCCATCAATTTTCATGTTTATTTTATTTTGTGTGTGTTTAATAAATTCAAAGCACGAATGAAAAGCCCCCTCCCCTCCCCTCGCCCCTCTTTCCCTATCTTACTTGTCTCTTACTTGATTGATCATCCCCCCTCCCCCTTCCGATGGCGTCGTCCCGGCCCTACGCAACTGGACTATAAGGGTGTAGATTTTGAGATCTTCTTTCGCTTTTCACGTTGCATCATCATCACTGCTGATGGATTCCATAATTTATATAGTTCAAATAAAGATGGAAAATGCCCTTACATTTATGCATGAAACATAGTATATTCCTAAAATTCTTAATCTTTGTCGTAAGAAAATGCAGAGAAAAGGTTGAAACCTGCACAACACATTCAGGCATGCATGATACTGATGAAAGAACTGTGTATGAATACCACCAAAATGATTCATACACTGCGAGACATGGAATGAATCATACTGCATGAAGAGAACTTGATAAATACTGTATTGCTGAAGGGCAAGTAACGTTTCACGTATATACAGATAAACCATAAGACATTATACACAAGGGATATTAATTTGCGTATACTATAAGCAGCCTCTCTTGTGCTCTGCGTGTTTATTATTAACAATCCAATTACTACAGCGGTCAGGGCCTCGTCATTATGAGGTCATCAATATGTAATTTTCCCATCATGACGCGAGTTTTCTAATTAGAAGTACACAATGCTCAATTAATCCTAGGTCATGAAAGTACGGATATATATGTATTCAATCAGTGTAACACAATGAGGTTGTGTATATGAACAACAGAGAAGAAAAAAAAGTATATCTCGTGATAAATTATATCAGTTTTTAGTTGTTCACGGTTGCCTTTCTTGGCGTCCGACTGCTTTATTGATATATGAGTTTACAATTTATTATATGAATAAAGAAGATAATTATAACAGTACATTATCTGCATGATTTAATGATGCACTATTTGCACACACACACGCACATAAACATCCTCACACATGCACTTTCTCACACACGCGCGCACACGCACTACAACACGCCCCAACAACCTAGAATCCCAAATGCAGTGACATTATAATTAAAGTACATAATAATATAGTGCAGTGAATGGTGATTTAATTTAATGAACGTGTGAAAAAAGTGTACAAATGCTATTTAAAATGTGAAAAAGGGGCGTCTAAAAATCATTCGGTAACGAACATTTTCCAGCCAACACCAACCTTCGGCACAGAAAACATTTTGAGTGTACTGCATTTATTATAAATTTATAACATCTTAACAAAGCGCAGTATGCCTATATATTTGCCGCTGGACAGGCAAAAATATTGTAATCTCCATTCTATAAAATAATACATTACACGTTTAGATAGTATTTACATAAATTTAGACTAAAAAAGTGCAATAATGTCACAGTGCAATGGCTCACAAAACATGGCATTAAATTACTGCCCATTACGTGGCATACTGTGAATCACTATCACTGCATCACTCCCGGAAAGTAAAGAAAGCGTTCCTCATTCACTGCGAATACACTCAATATTGTCTATGACTTGCATGCATGTGCATCTAATTTGTCACACTTTACGCTTTAACGATAGCAACGCACGGGCTCGCTTAGGCGGTAATTTACCATCTTCAGAAGAAAGCAAACCGATCACACTTACCGCTCAACGATCGCAGTGAGTCGTCTGTTACAAAAAAGTGTATAGGCTATATGCAACAGCACTATATTACAACGAATAATATAGGCCTACATTCAGCTGCATAGCGTTAGGGCACCGGGCTTTGTTATTATAGCTGCTAATACTTTGTAGAGGCCTTGATTTAGAAGTATTGTATCATACGGTCACCACCATTCTCATTCCCTGACATGTAGATTCGGCGTACCATATGGCGTGCTAAAACTGAAAACAAGCCCCTTCTTATTCACACAAGCAAATACAAGTGATTGTGAAAGACTCATTTATCAACAAGTTCATTCACAAGTTTGAACATCACAAAAGAACACATTTTTATATTCTACAATGATCGCTTACCTCGTAAGTTGTATTTTTGGCGGGTAAAATCGTAAGACTCGCATACACTTCACACAGGACAACAGTCGGAAGCTCCGCCGCGTTGCATACATGTATTGCTTTAATCCGGTGTATGAGTCTAGTGCAGGCGAGTGGAGCTTTCGTGCTTTAACGCACCGAAAACGTACACTCCCTCACGAATGCTTGTATGCATCAGTTCTCAGCGCTGCCAATCTCCTCATTGGTGGCATCGCCCATTCACTTCTAGCCCTCAGGCGGCGGGCATCCGGTATAATAGCTCGCTGAGCTTGTACCTTCTTTTAATGTTATTATCCCAACATTATGCGGCGTTTGACAAATCATTCCGGTGTCTGAGCGATTTTTGACTGGATAATTTATAATTCTAAGACGGGGAGCCTAGATTCATATTTCTACTAGACTCGGTGTATTCTCACATCATGCCTGGGCAACGGAGTAAGAGAAATGGAAAATACACTTTTGTATCGACAAAAATCTATATAGAATAATTTTTTTCCCCTCTGCACGGCGATAACCAAATAAAAATGAAAGCAATAGATTGAAAGAAAAATCCTTGAAAGAGTTCTCTTCTTCTCTTCTTGTTTATAATTATATACACCTTTATAATATCTCATTGGTTTAGGGCCTATGTTGTCACTAGTAATCTCGTTTTATATGTGTATGTAACCAACTAACCAATGAAGAAGAAGTGAAGCATTCTGCTTTTAATACAACAGTTTTAAAGCTTCAGAATCATTATATCAACATTTGTCATGATAACTTGATAAAGACGTTAGATGGTACGTCGAGAATTCCTGACCTAGGACCTAAAAACAGTTGAATTTAAAGCATGATCCGTCTCTGGTTCATCATTTTTGCGTCATATTATGCCAATACGTGGACTTAAAGAGGAATTAACCTCAAACTACATGTTAATTTTAGTTTGTAGGTCATTTAAAACATTATATGAAAAATATAAAACGTCATACATTTGACGAAATGGAGGACGAAACTCTTCTTCAGAATCCGTCGTCTTTCGCAGCTCTGATAATTTTCATAACCTCGCCATTGTGTTTGCGCTTTCTGTGACGTATCGCATAGATTTTCCGCTTTTTTTTCCACCTTCAGAGCTGCTACCAGCCTATAGCTTGAATATTTCCTTGCGATTGTGTTGGTCTGGAAATTGATGAAACTATTTCCCTACGATTTTCGAGGGACAACTATTACTACCAACAACTTGGCAGTACACCATGTTTGACGTGAAGTGCATAATATAACGCGAGCACCGAGCGTTACATCAGTTCTCCTTGTGATACGTCACAACCCGGGGTCACAACCCGAAAGTTTTGAAGGGAAACTCGACAAAATAGCAGCTTCCTTAGGGAGCAGACGACGTCGTAAATAAAGCGAAGTATAGGGTCTCTTTATTGTACTTGCAAGACGATATTATTTGGCCTACAGCAATGCTTTTTATATCAAAATTATGAATCGTTGCTTTACTCTATATGGCATGATATTTGCTTCCTATTCAATAGGTTAATTCCCCTTTAAAGATAAAGGTGAGTTCTGGTAATGCGATTGCATTGTGAAGAAAAGGTATGGAATGGTTCAGAAAAAAGGTGATCATGTAGCATGTAAGTATTGGTGTGTACTGCAAGATTCTGGAGTCATCAAAATCATAATAAATTTGGCCAAGAGCTTCCATTTCATATTTTGAAATTGGGGCGTTTTTAATATTGGTCTTTACCTGGTCTTTATAGTACTCGAAATCACCAGGGTTTGATTTTTTTTTTTTTTTTTTTTTTTTTTTTTTGGGGGGGGGGGGGGGGTGCACATACATCTTAGAATACATCTTAGAAAACATAATTGGGGGAGGGGGCACGTGTCCCCCCCCCCCGGGGCTACGGGCCTGGATATCAGGTATTATTCATAAATCATTTTTTAAATATTTATCACAGCACGTTGTGCATGTATATATATACAAATTTGTTCACATGTCAATGTTCATGTGTGTGATACAGAAGTAATCATATGAGAATAAATAATAAATATTCTAAGCAAAAGAAATGATAAGATTCGCCAAGCATCTACGAATAGGTCGTCCTGTACTACTACTATGGGAAAGCAGTGAGCTTGAAAATTGTGTCCGTTACGCGCCATTATTTTCTCATTTCCTATGTCATTACAACATTGATTGATTTTCATCAGAGTTGCCAATGTTGCTTACATGCTTTACATCGACGTGATACTTCGGTGTTCTTTTTTATAACCCACAGAGCCAGAGGCATATCCAGCATAATTGAAGATAGCTAGTTTAGAGGGTGCCCAACCCCGCCTAACAACTATGATAAACTAAAATATTACTAGCCCCACCCCCCCCCCCAAAAAAAAAATGCACGACACATAAAAGAAATGAATGAAAGAACCACAAGTCCTGCTAAAGCCCCCTCCCCTTAAAAGCCCCCCCCCAAAAAAAAAAAAAAAAAATTAAAATAAATAAAAAATAAAAAATAAATAAATAAATAAATAAAAAATAAAAAATAAATAAATAAATAAATAAATAATAATAATAATAATAAATACATGAAGAAAGAAAGGGAGAGAGAGAGAGAAAAAAAAAACTAATTCTTATATTAGGCCTACCACGTGCCGGTGTACGCCCCTATATAGTTCTCTCTAGTTAGAAAGATATTAACAGAAGTGTATAGTGGGTTACATGGGTATGCGCGTATAGCTCATGCAGGGCTGTCTTACAAAGAGTTGCGATTGATCCAAATCATTATTGTAAGTCCTCCAATCAATCACAAATTTGCAATCTCCTATCTCTTATGTCCAATGTTGTGATTGATATCAATCGCATATAAGTTGTGATTAATATCAACTCTTTGTAAGAAAGGGCCCATGTATCTTTCTCAGAACTGGAGGTATTCCCGAAATCATTATCATGAAATATTATCGGGAAAATCTCTTCCCGCTTCCTTCTGACAATCCTGGAGCAGCCCTTGCTTGCTTATTACAAAATCCCTCTTGATAAAAAACATTATAATTTTATCATTTCAGACGTCTTTTGTCATCAAACACGAAGCATGTTATCGTCAACCCTGTCACGAAATTATCTTAAAGGGATTTTTTTTTAATGAGTGTAAAGGTCAACTTGAGTTCTGGTTATGATGGAAATTAGATACTTAAAGTCAATTTCAAATAATTCTAATGAAAAAAGTGGTATAGAAAATTGTTCATACCGAGTAATAAGCTAACAAAATCTAATGGGGGTTTATTGACCATTTATAGGTCTCTTTTTTCATGGGTAGACTACGGTACCCTCCTTTCTTGTTTTCAGGTGGTTGTTGACCCCTTTGGCGACAATTTGATTTTTTCTTCTTCAATTTTCGGCTGCAAATGACATGTCAATACAGTATCCAATTAGTTTGTATCATCATCGTCATCTCCATCATCATTATCATCATCATCTCCATCATCATCATTACCATTATTACCAATTAACAGTTCCGTTTCATGAACCTGCGCCGTTTATAATGTCTCTATCTTCGTATTTCAATATGAAATGAATTATGTTTTAAAAGAGATGAAGAGGTATTAAAAAATAGCTGACACCTGACTGTTTATAATCCTAATGCGGTGCGAAGAACGATGAGATCTGTTTTGTCAACAAAAAAGCAATCAGCGCTCACAGGTATGCGTCTCCGAGCGGACACGATTATTTTCGGCGCTTTTAGCAATCACTTTCGGTGAGATAAATATTTAATGTACGTTTGACTGCCTTGGCTGCCATGTTTGCATTTACATGCATATTAAAACAAAAAAGAACAGTATGATCGCACGATCGACCTGTTTCACCAATCAATGTCCCTTGATCGAATTTCTGTTCTCCGTATAATAATTTACACCATAATCACAAAATGTGGACAGTGACAGATTAAAAGGGGCATAACGTGCCTCTTTAAAAACCAACCTTGCCATACCTAAAATATATAACGTGCGTTTTTGTAACCCCTTTTCTGTTGAAACCCTAAAAAGTTGGTATACCTTTATACCGTCGGTTCAGGATTTGTTTTCATCATTATTTTTCATTTTCTGGGGGATTAAGTGCCCCAAGTGGGGTGTGCTATAGATTATCGCGTGGTAATAACTAACTGAGAAGGAGAAATCACTAATCAAGTCTCGGCACGTACTGGCGGATGAGGGGGAGGGGGGGGGGGGGGGGGGTCGGATCATATTTAGTGCTTGCCCCCCTTGGAACCCCAATTGGCTTACGTCAAGTACACAACCCCAAGACTGTGCCCCCTTAAAATAAAAATAAAATATCTGATTATGTTTTTGATGTCAGAACATTTTGGGAATATACTTGCTCCCCCCCCCACTTTTTTTTATTTTATAAATTCATGCAATCCGCCCTGCGGGTAATCCGATACTGAGACGTCATATAGGGGCCTTCCACCCACTCAGTAGGTCCAGAATGAATTGATATATAAAACATCAACATGAACCACAAACCTGCATGGGCCCGGTTTCATAAAACTGGTTTCATAAAACAAGTGCCACAAATATATGACGAATTTTCTCACAGCCAAACAAGTGCAAGGATTTTAGTAGCTTATAACAATAATTGTATCTTGTTCTTGATAAAACATCAAGTTAATCACATTTTTTCTGGGTAATGCCATTCAAATGACGAAGATGTGGCGCGTTGCCATCTGAGGAAATATTAGGCTTTATTTGGTATACTTAAATATCAAATGAAAATTGAGAAATTGTTAGAATCCTTCTGAATTTACAAACACGTTGAGTGCATCTCTTAATCACCGACTTTCCAACCTTTCACGAAGCGTAGTTTCCTAATTCAGGGGGAGCTGATCGTGTCAGATCATGAGGGAGGGAGGGGAGGGAGGGGGCTGGGTTGTCTGCCGAACGCTCGACTACTTCCACCCCACAATAAGTCATCCCTCTTTCGGGCTCCTTGTAAGACCGAAGAGTTCTGGAAAACGCCCCTCCTCCTGCTTCCAATCTAACTTCCACTCCATGGTATATTCTTATCACGATCGATTAACTGTTTTGGTTTTACAGCGGTGTTTGTTAAGATTCTTAGCAATAAACCAAACATGCCTTCGTACTTTTTTTTAAAAATAGAGGAAGGTATCTAATTCTGAATTCCTTCACATGTCCGCTGACTGACTTAAGTTTGAGCATTGTCGCACACATTGTGTGGGTGACCCCCCCCCTTTACTTTTCTATTAAAAAAAATATTTTCTTCAGCATCCAATTTTGGAGGGGAGGTAAAGCACTCATCATTTGTACGTTTGCAGATGATTTATAATTATGTAATTATTTTTTTCTTTTTAATCAATAATATCGTTCCCTTCTGAATTATTTTGTTTTGTTTATAGGCCTATTGTGTGAATGTTTTTAACGGACGTGCTGAAAAACAGCCTTATGGCTGATGGCAGGTGATTAACCGTGGTTAGATTAATAAAACAAACAAACAAAGAAACTGATTTACAAAAGTCATTTCCTTCTTTGCCAAGAAAGGGGGGGGGGGGGGGTAAATGTCAATGATTCATAATAGTACCCGCGCCCAAACACTAGAGGGCAGCACATATCAAGTGTTACATCCACTTCCTTCTCGTGAAGACCGTGTACGAAAGAGCGTCCCCCACTTTGAGAAAAACACCTTATTTTCCAGGAAGTGCGAAAAAAAGTGGAAACATTCTGCCTGGTATTATAGACCCATCATCAAGATGATTTTATTAGAAATAAAGAACAGAATAATTGAAGAGACGCTTCTAAACAAATTCGAAGTAGCACAAGCCGGGTGAGTAAGGAAGTGATTTTGTGATCGTGGGTTCCCTCCCATCTTTGTACGTGTAGAGTCAATGCAATGAGCTGTACTGTGTGTGCATGCCATTTTTGCCTAGCTAGTTTTGCCTCTGATCTTTTACAGTCTTAATTTAGCTCAGATGAGGTGAATTGCAGAAGCGTGTGATCTAAGAGGTTTGTGAATAAAAAGAAAGGTGAATAATGACAGGTCTTCTTTTGAAGTGCTATTACCATGTAACATGAAATATCATGAAATAATAGGCTTTCAGAAATCACTTGTTCAATTAAAAATTTAATTCCCTCTGCTGTTGTTTATTAGCGCTTCATTTATTTAGTCACTTAATTTTTGTTCATGTTAATTTGTGCTTAAAAGTTAAAATGACAACTGTGTACATAGTCTACATATAGTCTACTCAAAGAATGATTGGTTTCCTAATCCTATACGTTTGTGTGTGTAATCAGGTTTTTACAGGTAGACCTATGTAACATAAAGTCTAAATAAGATCTGATCTTCCATCGTCCCTACATTTTAATCTACTTTCATTGATCGTTGGTGTCGTCTTCCAAATGAAGGAAGACTTTTGAGACATAATAATTTTAGTGCGCATAAACTTTGGACATCCCAGCATTCAAAATTCCGGATTTTCTGGTCCTAGAAATCCCCCAAAACAGAATATTCTGAATTATTCGTAAGGGTTGGCAGGTATGGTATTAAAAATTCATCAAATTACTTGTAATACTTGTAAAAAATAAATTTAAATAAAAAAAAAAAAAAAAAAAAAAAAAAAAATCAAATTTTTACTTTTTTTTTTTTTTTTTGGGGGGGGGGCCAAATTTTCCCTCGGGTCGCGCCACGCGTTTTTAATTTCATGTAGCCTGTCAATAGAGGGTCTGGCCCTTCTGGGATGTAATCAGAGACGCAGCCATGTTAAAATCTTAGTCCCTCATTAATTTGTTTCGTGTAGTAGCATCATAACACTTCACTTTTAAAAATGTTGTTATGTATTTTTTTGTGACAGAGGAAAGCCTGATGGAATTGACATAAAAGTAGCAGGTGAGAATCTCTCTCTTTAACTTTACATGTACTAACTTAGGCAGCTAGGGCTTCACACTCATATCAAACAAAAAATTATTATTATTATTTTCCTTTTTTTAAAATTATCTTTTTATTTTTATTATTTTGTATCTACTTTTTTTTTTGGGGGGGGGGGAGGGGGGAGGGGATGGTGACTCTGGTTCTAGATATCGACCACTTTCATTATTTAACACAAACTTCTGTACGAGAATTTCTCATGACAACTTGAAGAAAAATGCAAAAGAAAAGACAGGAAGAATTGGCTCAATGTGACCTAAATAAATAGAACAAATATCAAATAGGTGTAGACCCACATCCAGGGTTTCCTATGTGCACTGTTTTTCTTTTCCTCCGAGCCAACATTCACGAGGTATAAAATTGTAAAAGATAAAAAAAATACATCATTGCATGTAATTTCCTGTACATGTATGAACTGTAACTTCCTCCTCCATGTACATGCTGCGTAAAAAAAGGAAAAGAAACCAATATTGTTGGTTGTGTGACGTTAAATTCTGCTGAAGTGACCCCAACAGTAGGCTTAAAGAAAGGACGACGACATCCAAGTTGAGATACGTGCATAAAATGCAGTTCATCTGTAATATCAATAAAACAAACAAGCAATCATAAGCATGTGTACAAATTCACATGAATAAACAAACATCTATTGTATCGCACAACTAGCTTGCCATAAATGACCTTAATATGCATAACTGAGTAAAGAAAACCTTCAAGAATAAACTATGTGAGTAAAGCTCACTTGTGCAAACACAAACTGTATAACTGCCTCATTTATCTTATTCTAATGAACTGTCTCAAATTCTACCTTTGTTTACAAATATAACCCTTACAAATCATACCTCTCTATCTTGTAGGTTAACGTCATACACAAATAAACCCTCGACCAGCCTTATTTCCTGCCTCTATCTTACACTCTTTACTTGGTTCCTGAACTAAATTCCTATTTGCTTCTACACCCTTGACATTCTTTATAACCAAGGAAAACAATTCATACTCTTTGTTTCATGTCAATTATCATCACTCATTACACACAAATCTAGATTATCCTCAACACAAACTGATATATGCACAAATTGTGCATTCACACACGTTATCCTACGTTTGTCTATATGTGGTGCTACATGCACAGACAACATTTTAACGTACTTTTCATCTTAAAATTACAGAAAACTAGATTTATATCTTGTGCCATTTTTGGCCTCATACAAACAATTAAAGATTGATTTATACAAATAACAGCTTTATAGTACTTACAACATTGGGCTTGTCTCGATTGTCGGGGATTACTGATGGAATCACTGTCCACAAAACATTTCAAATTTCGTGACTTTTAGGCTGGCGAACTACAAACGCCCTCTTACGACCAAATGAAATTATGGTTAATCTGAACCGACGTCATGACAGAAAACTTTCTAAATCTTACATCCCGGCCCCTTAAATGCGTAGCCACAGCAAAGCATTTATCCAAATAACTTCAACTTCCATTCAAATTGTCTAACTTTTCTGTTAATAAAACACAACTAAACATTCAGAATTTACACTCAACTCTGCATAGCACATTCCATTAATTTCATTTACACAATGTAGTACATTACAGTAAATGCCTTTAGGGTGAATTTATAGCCTATACACAACAAACACTTGTCGTCTAAAAATGTATACCGACAGGTCAATTAAAGTAACATTGGGCAAAACGATCAGTTGCCTTAATAGAGTACACATTAACTAAATCTCAACACAATTGTTGACACTCTGTAGCAAATAACAATAACAAGGATTGTTAAAGTCCTTGACATTCCTTACACACTTTGAGTTATCTAGTGAATTACCAAAGGAAAATACGAATTTATATCAGCTCAAACATAATGATTCTACATGTACCTCTATGCACTAGAGCTGCTAACTACTCAGAACTGTGTATTTCAGTACTCGATTCTTGAAACTAAACCCCCTTTTTTGTGAGTTTTCAAGCAAATTTCAGTAGCCCACCACTAAGTACAACAGGGTTACACACAAAAAATGATTTTCAAATTCAGAAAATGGTGCTTCTGTGATTAAACTTTCTCATCATTCGCAATCTTGAGTAAATTGTCAATTTACTTCCGGTATACAAAACTTTAGTTCAACTATCCCCTTCATATCAAATATCCTCTTTTGGGTCTATGCATCAAATATCAACACAATTCGGTTCTTTAAAGTTTCAACTTGAACTAGACACTACATATTTGTATGCTCATGCATTGACCAAATAACATGTTATCATGACAAATGATTCTCATTTGTAGTGGTCAAATATTTAACTCCTGCTCTTAGGAAAAAACATGTAAGAAATTACGTATGAATATCGTTCGAACAAAAAAAAAAATCTTTCAGCAATAGTCTCAGTTCAATACTGAAATGAATACATGTATTCTGAAGTCCATTATAGTCTTTCTTCAAGTATTGACTAATAAACATAATAATATGACATAGTCTATAACAAGGCTGAAATGTTTATTACTCTTCAAGAGTAGAGTCCACTGTCCTCAAATATAACGTGCCCGATTTACCTCAAGGGCACAATGTTACCGCAAATAGTCTTGTATAAAGTCTGAGGACTGTTTTTATCAATTTCTTGCGCTTAAACAAGTTTGTTGCTGTAAACGAGTTCTGTCTTGCGTCGACGTCAGTCTAACTTGAATATGATGATCAGGATAATCGCGACATAAAAAATTCACAAGAGGCGGCGCTAGGCTCTCACCTCGCACGTTTAATTCATCGTGCATCAAATATAATTATCTCACATAAGAAACTAATGCTCCAATTTAGTCGTTCTTCGCTGTGGATCCATTTAAATTGAGATCGCTCTCCACGGTTCACCAATTTACGCTCTTTGCTTCTTCCAAAACTGAAACATGATGATCAGGATCTTACGCTCGTCACGGATCAGGAAAATTGCGACACAAAAATTCACAAGAGGCGGCGCTAGGCTCTCACCTCGCACGTTTAATTCACCGTGCATCAATATAATTATCTCACATAAGAAATGAATGCTCCAATTAGTCGCTGTGGTTCACCAATACGCTATCTGCTTCTTCCAAAAGACATACTTTCTGCACAGGCCTGACTAGGATACCGGTGCTATGTTTCAGCTTCACCGATCGGACGAGCTTGTCCTTCCCAGGATAGGTTTCGATTACTCTTCCCGTCAACCACTTGTTCCTCGGCAGATTGTCGATAATCAGCACGATGTCACCTTCCTCCAGATTTCTCGTCTCTTTCAGCCACTTCTGCCGCTGTTGTAAGGAAGGTAGGTATTCCTTCACCCACCTGCGCCAAAATAAGTCTGCCAGGTATTGAATCTGCCGCCAGCGTCGACGTCCATACAGATCATGTTTCTGGAACACATCAGGTGGTAGAGCATTTTTTGACCTCAGGAGCAGCAGATGATTTGGTGTGAGAGGCTCTGCATCCCTTGCGTCATCAGATGTTATGGTGAGTGGACGCCCATTGATAATTGCCTCTACTAGACACATAAGAGTCGTTAAGCCCTCATCATTCAGAACCTGCTGCTTCATGACTGCATTCAAGACCTTTCTCGTAGTTCTGATTTGTCTTTCCCATGATCCACCCATATGGGATGCTCTCGGTGGATTGAATTTCCAATCAATTCCTTGTTGAAGGAGATTATCGTGGATCTTCTCCTGGTTCCATCGTTTCAATCCCTCCCTCAGTTCACGTTCAGCACCTATGAAATTTGTACCATTGTCGGATCTGATAATCTCTGGTTGTCCTCTGCGTGAAATAAATCTCTGAAGGGCATTCAGAAATGAATCCGTCTCCAATGAATGCAGTACCTCTATGTGTATTGCTCTTATAACCAGACAAGTGAATATACATCCATATCTCTTCACAGAGCTCCTTCCTTGTCTCACCATGTATGGGCCAAAGCAGTCAACTCCCACGTTACTGAATGGAGGTTTTTCTGGTACCACTCTATCTGCCGGCAAATCTGCCATCTTCTGTTCCACTGGTTTTGCACGTTGACGTTTACATGTGAAACACTTGTGTAGTACATGACGAACTGCTAACCTCCCTCTGATTATCCAAAATCGTTGTCTGAGTAGGGATAGCACATACTCCTTCCCTGAGTGACCACACATAATGTGGTAATGTCTCACCAAAAGCTGTACTACATGATGCTTGGAAGGCAAAATCACTGGGTGTTTTGTCTGCTCTTCTAGTGGTGCATTGTGTAGTCTTCCTCCAACACATATCAATCCTTCGTCTGTGAGTTTCACGCTCAATTTAGATAGTGGGCTGGATTTTGCTATTCGAGTGGGTGACCGTTGTGTAGTCTTATTTTGCTGTAAGACTCTGTACTCCTCAGCATAGGTCTGTTGCTGAACGTATCTGACAATTGCTTCTTCAGCTACAGTCATCTCATCAACTGTTACTGGCTGCTTCATATCCAGTAAATTCATATCTTTGCGTGCCTTTCTTCTCAAGCACTCCTTGACCTTCAGGATCCATGCAATACCTTTCTTCAGCCGGAACCAGGACGAGTAACTTTCAAGGAGTCTATCTGTCGCCTTGACTTCAGATTCGGCTGCAGCAAACACTCCAGTCTTGTCTTGCTTTACCTCTGGGTCATGCTCTAAGCTAGACTCATTCACTGTCAAGCTTTTAGGCCAATCGCATTCTTCTGACCACAAAAATTTTGGCCCTTCTTTCCATCGTCCAGTCAATTCCTCAGCTGTCAGTCCACGCGAGGCATCATCGGCTGGATTGACATCAGTGTTAACATGTCGCCACTGCCTTGGTTCAGATCCCTCATGAATGGTTGTAATTCTGTTTGCTACAAACGTATGGAAACGTTTATCCTCATTCTTCACATAATGAAGTACTATTGAACTGTCAGTCCAAAACACTGACTCTTGGAGCGGCAGATCCAGTTCCCGTTGTATCATACTGTCTATAGT